GGATTGATTGGAAAATGTTCCGATATACTCATTGAAGAGATTTTTGGTAGTCCATGCCTTAAAGAAATACGAAAATATTCACACATTACGAACAGCTTGATCTACGTAAAATGTATGGGATTTTTATACTATTTACATTGTTCGGACTGTTGTTATCATCTTTTTTGCAATATTCACGATGTTTCGGTCGTTTTGCACTCAGGCCTTCTTCAGGTGATTGATTTTTCGAATCGAACCCTTTATTTCATCCTCCGGCAGAGATTGTACTAGTTGCACGTGCCATGCCTCTTTCCGATGTCTCCGTATCAGTTATCACACTTTAATTCTACTCTCCAAGTTTTTATTCCCTTCTGCTGTAGTCAGAACTCACAACTCATTGGGTCAAGTCACTGGCTTACTTCAACCAACGCTTTTATATACTGGGCCATATCTCCTGAAGAAGACCGGAGTGTACAACGGCCGAAACGTCGTGAATATGTCAAAGATGAGGATAACAGTCCGAATAATTACAATACCTCATCTCAGAAATATAGACAGGAGTGTGATCCTATTTTTATTTATTTATTTATTTTTAAATGATTAGTAGAAATTGTAATGAATAGAAACTGGAAAGAAATGTGTATACAAAAGAAAAGAAAAGAAATACTAATACACATTAAGAAAAGGAATGGTACAACCATAAAACTGGGAAATTCCTCAAGACAGAAATGTGTTATACATCAAACAGGAACACATCAAATCGGACATATTGTGCCAAGATAGAAAAAAGAATCCTAATCGTTGATTCATCACACCTTTTGAGAAAAGGACAGAGCAAAAGGAAGAAGTGAAAATTATGAACTTTTATTCATTGAAGTCTGAACAAACAAGGCTGTAGACGTTGAAGAATGTCACAATCATGCCAGTTGCCATTGGTGTAATTGCTACTGTGATTAACATAATAGAGACACGGATAAAAAAAATGGTATTGATTGCCCAGTGGAACTGTTACAGAAACGAAGCCTTTTAGAATCGGCAAGAATAATTCTAGGAGTGATTACCCTTAACCTCAGAGGAAAATTGCATGACATTTAAGACTGTTCTTCTCCACTGTGCATGTGTTAATTGCCATATGTAAAGATACAAAAGCGATTATCTCCCTTTGGTCGAGATGAACTCACGAAGGTCATGTGACGTCATTGCATAATGTCGAAAGTGGAAGTCTATCAGATCTAGAGTCAGCTTTCACAAGTCAAACGTGTCAGCTGCATGTTTTAGTCTGGACCCTTTAGTCCGGGCTGAGGCTAACCCCTTCCCCCGCAGCACTTGGTTCAGCTAACAGGTCTATGACGCTGTTTTCCTATGGAAATATATATATTCTCAAGATATAGAAAAAATTTTTTACTCCGTTTGCTGAATATGTCCTGGATAGGGACATAGTAAAATCGGGAATGCTAATAATTATTTTTTCTATTTGAACAAATGTTAGCAATTTAAAAATAAGTTATTGTTAATCTTCAAAAGTTTTTAACTTCTGTCTAGACTTGTACATTTTTCTGTCTTCCTGTTACCACCCCTTACTACTTTCTCTCTATCTCCCTCTTAAATGCATTTTCAGTTACTTATTGTTTTTTTCTTCTATTTTTTCATCTTTCCTCCTATCCCTTTTTAATTTTCGTTTTTTTTTAAAATGTTAAGATCCATTTTTTTTATCAAACTGTTTAGTATTGACAAGCCCCAGGGGATTTCTCTCTCTCGGAGCGAAATGGCTATATAAATGGGGTAGATTGAGTTTCCTTTTTATGTAATTCATTTCTATGCTCTATAATAAATCTAATGAGGTATCTTTTGTGGATCAGTTTTAATATTTTATATTATTAGTATTCAATTGGATTACTTACCCATGTGTTTTTATATATATATATATATATATATATATATATATATATATGTGTGTGTGTGTGTGTGTGTGTGTGTATTTAAAAGACGTCATTGACGTAAACTATTAGAGGCGATAGTCCGTTTCATACCAAACGCATAATCTGGTGATTGCGTTTAGCATAAAAGAGACTGTCGCCTCTGGGTGTTCTTTTCCATGTCCCCACACACGCACACACACACACACGCGCGCGCGCGACACACACACGCGCGCGCGATACACACACGCGCGCGCGACACACACACACACACACACACACACACACACACACACACACACACACACACACACATATATATATATATATATATATATATATATATATATATAGTAAGGTGATGAAGTGTTTGGTAATTCTTGTGGATAATTCCAAAAAAGATGCAATCTAGAGAGCTCAATGTGACACTAGATCAAATATTAATTAAATAATTAAAAAGAGAAAACACATTAAGATTTCATGACTATAATTTATTTCCCCCGAAAATATATTTTCCTGCTTCAGCATGTCATATCTGTAGTTATATATATATATATATATATATATATATATAGATATATAGATAGATAGATAGATAGATAGATATAGATATATATCAGCTTTATCTCATATCTAAGAATTCGCCACCAACGTGTAGGTTCAGGACTAGACGCTTTCAGTTTCATCAAAACCTGTTCCCATCATCCATTCCCTATCGCCGTTTGGCTTTGCAAAAGTTGGTTGGATATGAAAGAAAATCAGCGTAAAAGAAAGTACCAATGCCTTGAATTTGTTTAAGGTGGGCCTCAACGTAAGAGGAAATGACCCCCAGCCTTGATTTTTATCACCTTCCTCTGGGGAACATAGGAATTATGGCATGCAGAATCCAGTTATGAAACTGCAACGGACTGCCACTGAATCTGTTATAATTTCAAGTGACCCTTTCTGTAGCATTTCCGTCATGCGTAACGCACTTCATCCGCTGGTTTAACGGTTTAGATCTGTTGTAGTCATTATCCGCTTGTTCCACCTATGGGGTCTTTGGGGTTTGTCGCGCTGAGTCGTCGACTTTGACATATATATATATATACACACACACACACACACACACACACACACACACACACACACACACACACACACACACACATATATATATATATATATATATATATATATATATAATAAAAATCAACCTACAAATTCAACATTGAATTTTTAGGTCTGATGAATTGGATCGTATTTACGATTCCAATGGAATAAATTATGACCATGGAATATTAGTGTTTAAAGCCTTTTTATTATATCCTTACTCTGTCGTGGAATTGAGTTCTACCTGGATTCTTATCCTCTTGGAATTTTTTTATACAAAATATATATGTATGTGTATGCATGTATGTATATATATTTATATATTTTGCATATGTATGTGTATTTTCACCACTAATATTATACACACACACACACACACACACACACATATATATATATATATATATGGCTGATATAGCTTTTGTAGAGTGCAAAACATGTTATTAAACCCAAATAAAATCGTTGATCTCGAAATTTATCCCCTTTATTGTCTATTTCCTGGACTAAGTATATAATTCTTTTCTTCATAGTGTATGTTGCTGTGTAAGGATGCATGGGTACACGAGTAAATGTACTCATCTATGTATTGTACAATCATGTGTACAGATGTGTAAATGTCTGCGCGTCTATCAAATGATTTCATATAAATTAGACTTTTCTGGATGACTGGAAACTATGCAGAGAGAGATGAACGGTTAAATACTTATTTTGTACGCAATTTCTCACTTTTACATTAGAGTCCATGTTTCTTTAAGCCATAGTGGATTGTGATTCTCCACAGCGTCATTGTTGTTTTCGTTTCATCTCTTCTGTTTTCAAAATTTACATTTGTTTTTGCTTGTCTTCGATGCCCCCTTAGTGTTTAAACTTTTCAAAGGACTCCTGCCTCATTAAAAGCCAGAAATCTATTTGGGAAATCGGAGAGATGAGTTTCAATTCCAGTCAGTTTCCTTATATTTTCTTAAGTGCAAATACCCTTGCGAAAATGTATGAACCAACCTCTTATCTCATCAGCTACAGGTATACTTAGGTAAGTCTTGTAGCAACAAATTATTATTATCTTCAAAACATTCTTATAATCTAAAATGTTCTGGCTTTGAATAACCTGAAAAAGGTTGACAACCCGTAAAAAACATCTGAAAGGAGACAGAAGATAAAGGAAGAAAACTTGTTTCTATTCTTTGTCTTAATTCCTCATTTGTCAATATATTTTCAACATGCGTTAGTAAAATGACACCAATTAACGCAGGTTTTTTTCTTTATTCTTGTTCGACATTGAAGGAAATTATTATTCATAATAAAATGAATAAATAACTAATTTTAGTTCGTATCGATTGAATAGAGAAATAATCATGAATCGTTGGAGAATTTTTCTTTATTTGCAATATCGCCCGAGATGAGTATAAATTTGATATCATTTCTCCTTCGGGGGATGTGTTCGCTCGATAAAAGCCGGGAAATTTCTAGAATCATTTTTTAAATTTTTTCTTTCAAATTCTTAGCGTCAGAATTCGCTGGTGAAATGTTTTAAATGATTGATTAATGGAGGTTTCACATGTCGAGATTCAAACGCCGATTGGATCAATAATAGAAAAGCATCTTTCATATCGACGTCACCAACTCTCTCTTCCTTTCCTAAACGAGTTCGTCTTTGCTCGGAATTCTACAAATCAATGTTCAATGCCAGCTGAATTCAATTATTCCTTTTGATCAACCAAATACTTGTTTGATCGCAGTGCGTTCTGTTCGATGTAAAAAAAGAAGATTTCTTTCATTGAACTATGAGTGCAAAGAAAAGCCTTAAAAAGCAGTAAAATTTATGTACAGATGGGGAATTTAACTGAAAATTAATAGTTTCCCTTGATTCAAAATATTTTAAAAATATCCTGGAAACAATTGAAACATTGTAGTGACTATAGACAGTAATAGTTTTGTAAAGTCGTTAATGAAGATGAAGGTGATTATTTTTCGGTCCTAGAAAGAGAATTTAAAAAGCAAAGTTAAAGGTGTTCATTAAAGGGGGGGGGGCACATATTCAGAGCAGAATTTACACGAAGACAATTTTCCCAAGTACCGATATGTGTTAATGGAGAAAACGTATGCCAACTTCACATTAAGATTCGCAACCCAGACACAAGAAGAATAGAAGAGAGTAGAATTAGAGAACGAGAGAGAGGGTAGGGAGAGAGATAGACAGAGAGAGAATAGAGAGATAAATATAAAGAGAGAGAATAGAGAGATAAATATAAAGAGAGAGAATAGAGAGATAAATATAAAGAGAGAGAATAGAGAGATAAATACAGAGAGAGAGAATAAAGATAAATATAAAGAGAAGAATAGAGATAAATATAAAGAGAGAATAGAGAGATAAATATACAGAGAGAGAGAGAGAGAGAAAAATATAAAGAATAGAGATAAATATACAGAGAGAATAGAGATAAATATAAAGAGAGAGAATAGAGAGATAAATATACAGAGAGAGAATAGAGAGATAAATATACAGAGAGAGAATAGAGAGATAAATATAAAGAGAGAGAATAGAGAGATAAATATACAGAGAGAGAATAGAGAGATAAATATAAAGAGAGAGAATAGAGAGATAAATATACAGAGAGAGAATAGAGAGATAAATATAAAGAGAGAATAGATATAGAGAGAGAATTTGATAAATATACAGAGATAGATATAGACGTTTTGATATAGAGATATAGATAGATATATATATATATATATATATATATATATATATATATATATATATATATATAGATAGATAGATAGATAGATAGATAGAGAAACAGAGATGGAGATATATATAGAGAGATAGATAGATAGATAGGAGATATAGAGAGGGGTAGAGAATAGATAGAATTCCTTTTCACTTTACATGAATTCTTGCCCAAGGTAGTATTGCTTCTTTGTTTCCGTTGCTAATTTTGTTTGATAAATGCCATGATACCCTGGACTAAGCACAGGAGCAACGTTAGGTTTTAGAGAAAATGGACACAAAAAGGAATATTATGCTTAACATCAGGAAGAGACAGTTAAAATTTCTAGTGCTCATAATGAGTAAGGAGGGCTTGGAAAATCTGATACTCACAAGACTGACTGATGGAAAGAAGGACAGAAAAACTGCGTTAAATACTTGATTCGCTTGACTAAATGGATAGTAGAACAGGGTTTGGGAGAAAAAGCAAAAGGACAAAGTTTATTAAGAGCTAGAAAGGACAGGAAGATGTGGAGGGACATGGTCGCTTACGTTCTGAAGGGACATATCACATAAATCAGAAGATAGTTTTGCTTTTCACCGGGTGGACTTGCTAGCTTCATGCTCAACCGATTCAACATTTTCCTTCTCCTAAATGTGTTGGCAACCATGCCTGGAAATCTTAGACTGCCTTACTATTTAACTTATATCCATTTTATGGAGAAGGATTGGGTTCATACATTTTATTTTGCATATTTCCGTGAAAGTGAACGCAATTTGAACTCGGCACGCCAATATCCACTTGGCAAGCCATTTGATAAATAATTAATCTGGTGGAAAGTTTAAACGACTCTGACTAAAGAGCCAACTTAGATTGCTTTCGATATCTGATAAATTTGCATCTGGAAACCCCACAATAATCGTGGAAAAATCCAAGAAGGCTACTTGCCTATCTACCCCGATGGTAGGTCTGTCCTAATGTCACAATTAATGTGGGGTCCCAAACACGTACATGCGGGTAACCCCAGGAATTGTCTAGGTTCCTTAGCATTTGCTCTTTTGAGGTATCTTTAAACTTTAAGTACAACAAGGAAAGTACAACCTGGGGAGAACGACCCTTTCACTAATTGAACTGCTTAATTTCCGCTACAGATTTTAAAAAAAATGTTAAATAAGATAATGTTATTTTCAAAGCTTAGATATGTTTGGTACAAGAGGGCACCTCGTATGGCTCGAAATCACTAAGTCGTAATACACCATTACAATCATTACACCGGAGCATATATTTACTAACCTTAGTTGCAAGACCACAATTACCGCTCATCCAGAGAGTACTGAACACACTTCTAATAGTCAATCAAACTCGATCGCTATGCATTGCTTTGTGTCAAGGCACCCGTTATAAACTTGGTGAGAATCAAGTTCAATAAGATAACAAAACATTCATATGATTGGCTTCTTCAACCCCAACTGCACTATTTAGTAACTATATTGCAAATCTTTCCCTTATACGTGTACGCGTAAGTGCGTGTGTGTTGACGAAAAACAAAAAAAAAATGCCTTCCTAATGTGTTATTATTTTTTCGTATTGAAATTCAACGTGGGAAAGTCAACACACTACTTAGAATGCAAACCACTGCTTATAGATTTCATGAAAATCATTAGATCACTTTATAACCAAAACATTGTTAGATAATCGATATGGATTTATAAATCAATATCGATAATCGATTTACCGTGCCTTTTCATTTATTTTGCGTCTTCTTTGTATCTTCCAATATTCTTTGGTCAGAGAGAGAGAGAGAGAGAGAGAGAGAGAGAGAGAGAGAGACAGACAGACAGACAGAGAAAAAGAGAGAAACAAAGAAATAAAGACAGAGTGAGTGAGAGAGAGTTGTGATTTTTGAGCCGACCACCACCATTTACTTGAATGATTTTAACTTAAGGAAGTGGGTTAATGTAATTTGTGCTGAAGAGGAAGTTTAAAACAAATTTTGTACATTTCTAATTAAAAAATAGCCATTTAGGTATAAAAATCATGGTTTTCAGAAGAAAACCTAGAATTTCAGTAAAGAACTTAACCGATCTCGACCTCTTTTGGGAGATGATTTTCAGCCCAACAGAAAATATAGGAATCTGGGTTTCGATAATATCAGTCAGTTATGTTGCCATGTGTGATACACGCTTAGACGACCATATTCCTTTCGATACATGAATGACGAGGCAGATTTTTTTCCCGCATTAGGTTGCTATTTCTTTCTGAGGTAGACCAGTTGCCATCCAATGCTACAGAACCCGGTCTCTCCTGCTATTTGCCGTGATCTGTCCGTGATTTACCCTATTTGCGGGTGAAGAGAGAAGAAGAGGATTCATTTTCTAAGGGTATTAGCACGTAAGTGAATGCAATGGATTTGACTGAAATTCGAACTCGGATCTCCGATTTCTCGATCCGAACCGCTATCCCTTACTCCAAACTGATATTTTATATGCTAGATATGTAGTGCCAAAATTTAATAATTATCCAAATTTCTACTATGAAAAGAATTGAGTACGTCCTAAATATCTTCCCGGGGAGCAATTGCTTTATATTTTGTAGATTTACGTTGTTTCAACATTTAGGAATTTGTACGAAAAAGGAAAAAATAATGACTCGGGAATTTTTGCTAGCGTTATTCAAAGTTTGCGTTTGTCATAGACCAAAAAAAAAAACAAAAAAAAACAAAAACAAAAAACAAACAAAAAAAAACAAACAAAAAAACAAACAAAAAAACAAAGAAAATATAGTAACTAACTGTATAAATTTGAGAGTATTTTAGATTGTAAGACCCCGCATGCCGTTTCATATCTCGGCATCTTTTGAAAAGGAGGATTAATTCAAAGCTGCCTGTCACTTATTCATTTCAGCAAGATTTCAGTGACTTTCCCAGCAAAAAGAGGCAAGAAAAGCAATTATCCAGAACTGATTATCTAAAAATAAATGATTAAATAGGTGAGAGTTCTGATTAACTTCAAATGTTCATAACCTGACAAATACTTGGCGTAAGGACAAAAAATAAACCAGTTCTGCTATCCTGACACTGTCTACTTCCAGACTTAGCATATTTCAATTGGGAAATGTTCCCAAAAATGTCAAAAGTCTATTTGCGAGCCATGAGAGGTTTGAGAAATGGGCTCGGCCCAACCATCTTCCCAAAGACACTATTTCGATGATCAAATATGAAAATACGGATTTTTGGTAACATTATAGGGTTGAGAAGCTTTCGATACATTTTTATTTAAGTAGTAAGTAATTCAACCGTTTATACAGCAATAATTTGCATTTCTCCGCCTAAAAATTCAAAGATTATCGATTCAAAAATTTCAATGAATATTTTTATAAATTCTAATGAATGGGATCCCATCGAAATTGAGCCATGATTTTTCAATGCCTTCACTGTTATCCACCATTCCAATAGAAAACATGTCCTCATATATCTTTGTTCAGACATTTAATAGGACTCCCTTTTCCCACTTGGAAAATTATCCATATCTACCATGAAAGATTTATTGTATAGAAAGAATGCACAATGTAATTGTGCCATTTTAATTCAATAATGATATATTACAATATTACAAATATATTGCAATTATAAAGGCTCGCCATCACGAAAAAAAAATGAAGAAAAATGGTGGCAAATATTCAATGAATGAATAATAGTATCTCATCGATGAACAAATTCCATTGATTAAAGATATCACGTTTTGTATCTAATAATAATAAAATTGTAAGTCTAAGCTGATAGGACAAAAGATAGACGAGAAATTCTTAAACTTATAAACATTACTTAACATTTTAAATTTATGATTTCAAAAACTGAAATTATTGTATACAAAGAGTGGTTGCTTAAATTTTTAATCTTTTTTTAAGAAACAAATGATTTCAAAAGAAATTTGTCATCTTCCGGTCTATTTACTGCCACATTTGAAATATATATTTGAAATATTTAATATATTTGAAATATTAGACAAGAAATACCCGTAAACATTTCTTTCTTTTCCCTTCCTTTCTCTAAAATCAAATAGCGACTTTGATTGTACAGAGTGTCGCAGTAACTTGGACCGAATTTAATTGTCAATTAAGTTTAAGCGTTTAATGATTTTTTTCTTTTCATTTCAGATTTAACAACTTAAGTCTTTGGCAATACCAACCATGGAAATATTAACAATCAAACAACGTGTTAAAGTTTTAAGAATGCAATTGGAAAAATTGTTCGTAAATTCAAACAAAACCGGGTCGGTGGCAAATGTGATAGCACTATTGCGTTCTCGTTTATGCCGTTCAGCTGAAAACATTGCTGCAGTACACGAGAAGGTGGCCAAAAATCCAGACCCCTCTATTTGCAATCGCGCGCAGGAATTGAAACTCTCCACAACAACGTTACATCATTTCCAATTGAAATCCTCGTTGGTCGATTATATTGACCCAAAAAATCGTGAAGTTCGCGAAATGCATTTCTGTTTGAACGTCCATTTTCGATAATTTTAACAAGGTATTTTAACAAGGTGTTTGTTTGTTAATCTTTCCATGGGTGAAATTCTCAAAGACTTAAGTTAAATCTGAAAGTAAAAGAAAAAAAATCATTTGACGGTTAAACTTAATTCACATTTAGAATCGGTCCAAGTTATTGAACTCACTTTATATATATATATATATATATATATATATATATATATATATATATATATATATATATATATATATATTGTATATTTAGGCATTTTTCATTGATGCATGTTTCATTAAATAATTTAGACAAGTTGTCTCTATTTATTTTAAGTAAGTTCCTTTCATATTGTCAGATAAGCTTATTAACATTATTATTGAAAGACGAAAGGAAATCACCATATTGATACATGTTTAAATCCAATTTAAGCTTTCCTCTTAGATAAACCATTATCAAAGATGACATTTACTTTTCAATATATCAATATTTTCAATATATACATACATATACACACACACACACACATACACACATATATATATATATATATATATATATATATATATATATATATATGTATAAAAGATTAAGCTGAATATTACTTGGCATAATTAAAAACTGATGGCAAAAAAAAAAAAAAAAAAAAAAAATAGAGGAAAACAACCGGTTTCGCTCCCGCTCTTCAAAGTTCTTAATTGTGAGAAATTGATAGAAATAATCTGTAAAAATGTTATAAAGTTTAATGTATCTAGTTTTAAGTTTAAGTAAAATAACTAATGTGATTTCAGGCATTACTGTAAATCAGTTGGCAAATGTTTTCTGTGAACTGCAAAATCGTATTACCCTTTGTATTGCTAATGATGGAGGACATGTGGAAATTTAAATAAAATTTCAATAAAACTTTAAAAAATATAGATTTACTTCTTTCTAATCCTTTTTTACAAATTATTTCTTCTCTCGCAAATACAAATAAAGTTATGAATTTTTTGATGTGCACACGAACTTTATGGACACCCTGTATGTGTCTGTGTGTGCATATATATATATATATATATATATATATATATATATATTCTGACTATATTCACACTAAATAAGGAGTGGTCCATTGTTAACCTGACGTAATGGTAGGGCATGACGTACGTGATAAGAAAGTAAGGAAAAACAGTATTTTAATACGATTGTTTTTCTCATAATTGTTGTTACATTTCGTACCTGAAATTTGTCGTAAAAGAATTGTAACACGGTACATCATCATCATCATCATCATCATCATCATCATCAGTTGCATGACGGAGTGCATTTATTCGTAGGTTTGCTGTGCAAGTGAACATCTGTGCAGTTCCCTATATCGGTTATACTCCATTATCTGTATTTAAATTTGAGAGGCATTCATTTCCTGGCCACTTAGACCTGGCGGAACCCATCCTTCTCCAGATCAGGCTACAGCCAATGTTCTTCGACTTGAAATCTCTACTCATTCGCAAATAAATGGACGTTGATTCGATCGGAGAGTGGTGGGGGGGCCTTCATTCTATAGAGCCTTCCACCTAGCGATGCAGTGTCATCAGTTTGTGTAAACGATCTGGAGAAAAAGTGTTAGTAGAGATAACGAAATGATAAATGTTACTAAGGCCTACAAAGGATAGGAAATTGTGGAGAGCCATAATTGCCCACATCCTGAAATGACAATGCAAAAATATAAAGTTATCTCCCATGTGGTGATTTAACATAATGTTTAGTCATTTTCTCGCAGACGTGGCGTGGCTTCCCGCTGTCTTTTCTATAAATATTTTCATGGCGGGTGTTCTGACGAGTTTTTTCCTTGATGCTACGACTACATGAGTACCACTCGATTGGCATTTAGGTCCCACCCGTTTATTGTTGAAATAGCTAGATGCAACCGCCACTTTTACTCCAACTGTGTCTTTTCTTGCTCGTGGAAATCCCTTTCGCTTTCTTGCTTCTCTGTCATCTACAATCTTCAAAAAATTAAATGCAACGTAAATTGATATCTTCTTTCTTGCATCTCGTTCATCTTTTGTCCTTCCTCCTTGGAAAAGAGTACTGAGCTGATACGTGACATCTGTCCCCCTTTAGGGCTGCCAATGTTGGACGGTCTCCTCAAAGATAGACTCGAGCCAACGGAGTTATGGTTCTACAAAGGAATACTGAGGATATCCAAGACCGAGCGTGTGAGCAACGATGAGGTTTTGGAGAGGATGTAAACACGGAGGTATCTTATACTTAACATCAGGAAGAGGCACCTGAAATTTCTGGGACACGTCATGAGAACGGACGGCTTGGAGAATCTGATAATGACAAATCGAATAGAGGGACAAGGCAAAGCAATGCATGGCATACATAGCGGACTGAAGCAAGTGAATGACAGAACGCCGTCTGGGGGTAGTAGCAAAAGGACAAAACTTATTGAGAGCTACAAGGGATAGGAGGAAGTGGGGGGCTATGATCGCCTCCGTCCTGAAGGACACAGCACATAAAAAGAAAAGAACACTTTAAACCAAAGAATCCAAAACATTAATAAGTGTTGCCAATTATCAAAAGAAAAATATGTAAATGTAACAAGTATTATGGGATAGCGGTCGGATGAATGTTGAAGAAAAAACCAAATTAAATGTTGAAACTTTTATGTGCTTAAAAGATACATTTGCGTTTATACAGAATAAAAAAAAACACAACAGATTCATATTCAGTACTGAACATGGATTTCTTGTGAATTTATTGAATGTTATTGTTTTTCAGATCATTTTGCTTGCCTATTAAATATTACATATATTTCACCATAAAATAAATGAAGTTTATAAACATACATTATTTTAAAATTTATTTTATTTATAAGAACTAAGTATGTTTTTAGAGATAGGCAGCGCTGTCATCGACGTCAACACTGCATACTGACTGTCAGTTTCACACTTTAAGATATCTTTAAGCCAATCCGTGTGCTGTGTTCATATATAGAGAACTACGGACGATAGACTTGAAGGAGAGGAAATTGTAAATTTTTCCTGATTTTTATTTAGGGTAAATGCTTACCTATATTTATAATCATGACCCCATGTTTGTTTGTCTTATTTAATGCTTTATTTATTTTATTATTTAGCCATTTATTCTATTTATTTATTTTATATTTATTTTATATTTATTTCATATTTTCTTATATATTTATTTTATATTTATTTATATTTATTTCATATATTTATTTTATATTTATTTTATATTTATTTTATATTTATTTATTTTATATTTATATTTATTTCATATTTTTTATTTTATATTTATTTTATATTTATATTTATTTCATATTTTTATTATATATTTATTTTATATTTATTTTATATTTATTTGTTTTATATTTATTTCATATTTTTATTCTATATTTATTTTATATCTATTTTATATTTATTATATATTTATGTATTTTATTTTTATTTATTTTATATTTATTTATTATATATTTATATTTATTTCATATTATTATTTATATTTATTTTATAGTTATATTTATTTCATATTTTTTATTATATATTTATATTATATTTATTTTATATTTATTCATATTTATATTTATTTCATATTTTTTTATTATATATTTATTTTATATTTATTTATTTTATATTTATTTTATATTTGTATTTATTTCATATTTTTTATTTTATATTTATTTTATATTTATTTCATATTTACATTAATTCATATTTTTATTATATATTTATTTTATATTTATTTACATTTATATTTATTTCATATATTTATTATATATTTATTTCATATTTATTTATATTTATTTCATATTTTTTTATTACATATTTATTTTATATTTATTTATATTTATTTCATATTTTTTTATTATATATTTATTTTATATTTATTTATATTTATTTATAATTATTTATATTTATCTTATTTTTATATTTATTTTATATATATATTATATTATATTTGTATTAATTATTTATTATATTTATTTATTTATTTCTTCTTCGTCTGATGAAAATATTGTGATTGGAAAAAAAGCTTACTAGCATCTGTCTCTTTTTCTAAAATGAGGTATTTTAACTATTTAACATATTTACATTGACCAGACTGTTGTGCTCATCTTTATTGCCATATTAACGATGTTTCGGCCGCCGTACACTCTGGTCTTCTTCAGGTGATATATGGTGGAATTTCTAACCGAACACTTTATTTAGTTTATTGGGG